TGCGGACCGGTGTCACCCGCGTGTCGCCTGCGGTCCTGCCTCGGTGTTGCGCTTTCTGAGTTTATGTTTTGTTTTGCTTTGTACCAAGATGAGTGCTGCTGTCTGTCCAGGGAGCCATAGTTCTGCATCCACACCTCCAAACTGATCTAGGACCGTCTGCTTCTGCTCTTTTAAATCCATTAGTTCTTAGTCAAAACCAGAGGAGTTAAAATGTTCTTAAATTGCGTTGCACCCCGCTTGCCCTCCTTGCCGTGAAGGAAAGTTTCTAGTGAAGACTGGAAGAGCGAAGCCTCCAGTGACGCTCCTAGGACCAGTTACAGGTCTGGCCTCGTGGGTACGTGAGGAACAGGTTGTAGAAGGCCTCGTGTCCCTGCTTCTCCGCTGTTTTCATTGTGGTTGGCAAACTGGGGTCCTGATGTCGGTATAACAGGACTTGTCCCGAACTCTACCACATGTCTTTCCTTTTTCTTAGTTTCCCTTCTTTTTGATTTAACAATTTTCTCTTTTATTTTGGAAACTTTTGATGAAATTTTGTTTGTGATCTCTGAAGAGAAGACACTCATGCTCTTCAGTTTTCTCCTCTTGAGTGCTGAGTTGTCAAAACCAGTGACGCTACGGATTAATTAATAATCGCTAACTCTTCTGTGTAGCGGTGGATGCATGGCTGTTAAAAAATGCAAAACTTGACTGTGCAGCTGACTTGTTTAGTGACTGAGTGGGTTGTCTTCCCGGAAAATGGGAAGAGTCTTATGCTTGGTAGGTCTTAAATATGCAAAATAATAAATGTGTTTTTTTTAAAAAAATAATCAGAAAGTTGGGGGAAAATCAGAAGGTACTTTCTGATAGAAATACTGAAAAGCCAAAGCAACTTTGAGTTGCTTTGTAGGCTGATTTAGACTAAGTTTTGGTTATTCTTGCTTATCACAAGCACTGCATACATCTGAAATCTGAACCTTCTTGGAAGGTTTTTGTAAATCATGACTTTTAAAAGCTTTGTGTTGGAAAAAAGCTAGAATGACCCTAGTGTATTTACTTAAAACTGAAGCACAGGTAGAAGGAAGGATACAGCTTTCTTAAATTGGGGTGTTTCAGCTGCTTACTGTGCACTTAGGTTATTACTGTGTGCTATGTTTTGCAGATTTTCAGCAAAACTGCAGCTTGCTAAAGTAGCCTTGTGTATCTGTGATAGTGATTGGAAGTGATCAAAGGTGTGTAACTGTTCTTTAGAAACACACTGTTTATTCCAGGCATTTCTGTCTGCTCTTGGTTAGTACTAGCTTTACCCAAGTGAAGTTAACGTCCCTTTGTGTCGTTCTTGCCTAATGTTTCTGCTTGTGATCCCATTTCCAGCATCAAGAGTTACACTTTGTGTGACCAAATTTCACTTTACTTAACTCCAGTCCTGCACCTTACTGGGGTCAGGGCTTCTGGAACTGTAGCCTGTGTGTGCTAAGCTGCTGTCTGTATTTGCATGCAGGTATGTTGTTTGTGTGAACACTGTCACAACTGAGGAGGGTAGCAGTGGTGGTGGTGTAAATGACCCCGTGAGGTTAACCTTCCACTGAAAGGAAGCAGGAGGTGTGCTGTTTTATGGGGCTTGTCTTGACACACACTTACCTCCTCACACAGCTCCGTGTGAACGGTACTGGTAGACAAAACCACGGTTGCCAGACAGTAGCTTTGCTTTTAAAGAACATGGTGTTGTTTGCCATTGAAGGAGGATGGAGGTGCTGTCTAAAACTGAACTGGAATTGCACGTCTGAACTTCCTTCAGAAATTTGTTTACAATGAACAGTGCCAAGAGACTGGAAGAGTTGCTTTCAAGCTGTTTTTGTGAAGATTTGCCCAAAGAATTTCTGATGCTGTTATGCACATTTATTGCTTGTGAAGTTTCTCAGTATATATGTTGCTTACGATTGTTTTGTAGGATATTTTTAGAATAGTTGGAAGTAGTATGCTCTGATAGCTGAGACACCTTGTAGAAATGGTGTCCTTTAGCTTGATTATTGACAAGTTTTAGAGTTAAAAACTGAATGTCCTGAATTTGAAATACTGGGTTAATCTTGGTAATTGAAGTCTTGTATATTAGGAAATAATCTATTTTCAAAACACTTTGTTTGCAGTTAACGTGAAATGGGGAAAAGAGAAATTCGATGGCGTGGAGCTCAACACTGACGAACCTCCAATGGTCTTCAAAGCCCAGTTGTTCGCACTGACTGGAGTTCAGCCAGCTAGACAGAAGGTTATGGTTAAAGGAGGAACTCTGAAGGTAGAAATCTGTGGGGTTTTTGTACTAGTTCTAACTGTAGTACATTATAATGAGCAATGGCCATATTTCTGAGTGTTCCTCTGGAAGATCTTTCATTGTATGTATTAAACTGACTATCCTTTTCAGAAATAATTCTGTATGATTCATTGCCTACTACTAGAAAACACTCGCAAAAGTTTGTTTCTAAATAGCTGGGAAGTACACTGCTGCTTTAAAACACTTCTTCGCTCTTTTATACCAAATACTTCTCTGCTTGGTGGTTTGTATGGAGTTTTTTTTCTTTTTAATATTCAGAATCTGAATGCAACTTTCTGCTTTTTAGCTTAAGAAAAGTTTCTCTAGCACTTCTTTGCTAGAGACTTCTCTGTGTAATGTGATATAGGCAACTTTCCTACAAGAAGTTGCTTTCCTACAAGAAGTTGCTTACATCTAAGCAGTGTTGAACAACAGATGAAGAACTTTATTGAAAAGACAGCTTGGCTGCTTTTTATTTTAGTCAGACAAGACTTGAGGATGTGTAAATAGTTAATATTGTGGAATCTTGGATGAAGTACAAGTGTGTATTAAGAAATATGTGATTAATATTAATGAAGATACTTGCTTGTCTTTTGCTGCACGATAGTTAACTTGTCTTTTATTTCATTTCAAATACAGGATGATGACTGGGGGAACCTAAAAATAAAGGATGTAAGTTTTGATGAAAAATCATTTTATAGTTGTAATACCTAAGCATTCTTACAAAGTTCTCAGCTTTGATTTGTAAAAAACTTTTTTTGGCATCAGTAGGGAAGTTACACCATCTTCCTGAAGTATGGGTTTAAACTGAAAGAGGGGAGGTTTAGATTAGATATTTGGAAGAAATCCTCTTCACTGTGAGGGTGGTCAGACACTGGAACAGGTTGCCCAAGGAAGTTGTGGAAGTATTCAGGGCCAGGCTGGATGAGGCTTTGAGCAACCTGGTCTAGTGGAAGGTGTCCCTGCTCATGGCAGGGGGGTTGGAACTAGATGATCTTTAAGGTCCCTTCCAATCCTAACCATTCTGTGATTCTGTACTTGAGAGCATATATTTCTTTCTTCCTTAAAGGAAATGTTCTGGGTCACACCGCTGGTCCTTCTGTGTTGTCTGTCTGTGAGCATAATAACAAGTGATGTTACTCAGAGAGAGCTTGTGAACCTGGGCACTGGCTGTGGTCTGTTGTGCTTGTACGTCCCCAGCGTGGAAAATCGCTGCATTACAAGTGCTAAAGTTACAGCTCTGCCTATTTCCTTTTTTATCAGCCTGCTGAAATTTGTTCTCCTGTACTAAATAGCTGCTGTTTAAAAACAAAGCGACTAGCAGTGGTTATTCATACCTTTGACTAGCTCAAAAAGAAAACAAGAAGCAAATGTATTTTTTTCTTAGCTCTGTAATATTGTAACGGGGAATCCCAAAGCTTTTTGTTTGGCTTGTTTTTTGTTGTTATTTCTGTAGGTATCTTGTAACATCTGTTTGGTACAGGTTTTACTCCAGTTCTTCACTGAACAAATTGAATCGGGTGGCATCACTCCTATCCTTGTAATTAGTTCACAAGCATCTGTTGGCAGCCTGTAGCTCCAGCTATTGTGACAAAGTCATTCAGCAAAAACCTCAGTACATAATACTCTTGTCCTTTGCTGCATACTGTTGTGCTAATAGCTGCTTTTGTTAATTTTAATAATGTTATATACAAGTCCTAGGGATTTATTTACACTGGCAAAGACAGTTTCTTTCCATTCTGTTGTCCATATTTTTCCTTAGCACTGTATTTTTCAAGGCCCCAAATAGCCATTTTCTCCCCCTTTGATAGATCCTGTGTGTAGATGTACTCCTGTAGAATGCTGAAAAACTCATTTTCTTTATGCCAGTCAAGCAAGCATGGTACCTTGATTTTTTTCTTTTTTTTTTTCTTCCCCCCGCCTTGGACATTTGTTATGCCTGAAGTGACGGGGTAATTTTGGTTAATTTTCACTTTTCAATTAGTTTAATGTCCTCAGAACTTGCCAGACCAAAGGAGAGAACTTCCCTTTCCCACTTGCTTTTCAGGTAAAAAAAACACAACAATTCCGAACTCAGGGCTGTGGTCCTGATTATTACTCACATCTGTCTGAAGTGTTTTCCCAGATCCCAGCCTAAAGATGAGGGATGTTTTTGTTGCTGTTGAGAGGGTTCTGAATTTGAGAACTTGAGACTCTGTTGATTGAAAACCTCAAATGCTTCAGCTTCTTTCCAATTGGAATTTTGCTGCTGACTTTTCCGTGGTTCCAGGGTATTTTCTAAGACTTAATGGAAAGAGGAATACTTGCCCTGAAGTGTTGAAGATGCTTGATCCCTAGTGGTCCATCAGGAAGGGAGATTTTCTGAACACTTCACATTGGGGTATTTCATGAATGTTAAATTTAGTCCTGATTGGAGTCTTGCATGGTCAGCTGCTGGCAATTCAGCCGGCTCAGTGGAAATGTCTAGTGCAGATAATGCCCTGGAATTGTTCTGAATAAATACTTTCTAGATAATGAGAAAGTTAAGATACATCCTTAAGAAACAACAGTGCAGTATCAGCTCTGTAAACCAAGAGAAAGATTGTGTTTATTTTGGGGAAAATAGCTAAAATATGTCAAGAGCTTGATGATTTTTTTTTTTTAAAGCGGAAATAGCTGCCCTTAACTATTTATTACTATTTTTACTGTGTTTCAAGGGGATGACCTTATTAATGATGGGTTCTGCAGATGCACTTCCGGAAGAGCCAATTGCTCGACCCGTCTTTGTAGAAGACATGACAGAGGAGCAGTTGGCTTCAGCTGTAAGCATATTTCAGACTTTGGTTTCTTGTAAACTTTTGAATAATGGCAAGTTTTTAAATACTTCCAGTTGTTTAAAAGTGGATTTTGAAACTGTAATGTCTGTTTGCCATTTACAGCTTCTCAAAGAAACACAAATTTACATTGAAGTGGTAGCAGTGATGAGAAGTCTGGAACGTACTTTACAAGTCATATAACTAGTGCTGTTTTTTCTTTTAAGCAGGCAGCTTAATAAATTTTCTAAAAATAGCATTGCTGATGATTTTAAAGACAAAGTTGTATTGCCCTTGTTGTATTAGTGTCCTGAACTTTCCCTGAATAAGGGCTCTTATATGTGCAAAATTGCTTCCTGCCTCCTTCATATCTGTGAAGGGAAACTAGGGGTTTTGGGGGGGTGAGGTGTGTTTGGGATTTTATTTGTCCTTGCCAGTAGTATTAGGTAGACTTTCTGAAAAATTAAAGTAAGTTTGACATTTGTGGAATAGATTATATATTTTTCTTGATAGGAGGAAAGTTTGGAAAAGCGTAATTTATCTGTTTTTTTTACTGAAGTAAATTCTGTTTTGTTTCTTTTTTTAAATTCGAGAGGCTTAATTTTCTCAGCAGTTATTTGAACTAGGATCTCTTCGTCATACTTAAAGCAGTTGCATGACTGTTGTCAGCTGCACATGCAGAACAGGAATACTTTAATGCATGTCTGTATGAAAAGAGATCTGTAGTTTAGCAGTGGTTTTGTGCTTCAGTATTTAGTGCTTTCCATGGCACCAGCCAGAAGGATACTTATATGCCAAGAAGGATACTTATATGCCAGAAGGATTTGAGACTGACGCTGTACACAGACTTTGAGATAACTGAGGGGAAACAAGGAGATGGTTCAGTGTCAGATAATGCTTTGAAAAAGTTGGTCACATTGTGTTTCTCCGATTCAAGTTTTTTTACACATCAAAATTAAATTATCTCTACTGCCTGTATTCATTAAAAAGGGAATACACAGTTAAATTAATTCTCTCTTTCTAAAATAATTAAGTTATTGGTATGCAGTGCAACTTCAGTTTCATTAAACTACGTGCTTTTCCCTGACAACTACTCAAATATGCAGAATTAAAAAACCAAGAGGAATGCTATTATAGTGTGATTTATAGTTGTTTCCGAAACTGTTCAATTATTAGTGAGCCTTCACATTTGTCAAAACTTTAGAAATTCAGAAGTTGTCTGAAAGGATCAAATTAATGATCTATTGCAGACTTTTGGAGAGGAGTTTAAATAATGCTTTTGTTTCTAACTATGAGCTTCATCACGTTCAGAGTTTTGCTGAAAACTGATTTTAATTAAAACATCAGTGTTTTGTACAAGTGTATTCATGCAGAAATTTCATGGAAATTGAATTTTAAGGTCAAAACTTGAATGAAGTTATAATTGAACTTTCTGAATGACTGCCTGCCTGAAGAATATGTTCATTAAACTAAACATGCACAGAAAAAACCCCAAAGCATTCCTGAATGTCCTATAAAAGCACTGAATGATGAAATGATTAATATAATCAGAAAATGGATCTGGAAAACTTCATAAAGTTTGATGAAATATATTTTTTTTGTTTTATGTGTCTCTGATCATTCAGTTTCTTAGAAGTTGATGTCAGATTATTGTGTTTGTACAAAAATGGTTGCACATCTCTCTCAGACCTTCAAGCACCCTTGTAAATTTTTTGGTAGATGGAATTACCGTGTGGATTGACAAACCTTGGCAACACTTGCTACATGAATGCTACAGTTCAGTGTATCCGCTCAGTGCCAGAAGTGAAGGAGGCCCTTAAAAGGTAGGGTTCAGTACAAAAATACCATGACTAAAATGTTTTCTTTAGCTTATGAAATGGATATTTTATGGAATGCTTGTCTTAATACTGATATGGATTATGATAACAATCTGTTACTCTTTAAATCTATTCAAGGTTAACATAATGATCAATTAAAGTTTATCCTATGGCTGTGTTAGTCTGTACTTTTTAAAGAACTTCAGTTCTTCAGTCTGTATTTGTTGGAACTGGCTTTCAGTGGACAGAGTGTGCTTTGCCTAGCTAAAAAATAGTTCCTATCAAGACTTGTTTAAAATGCTTAAACAAGCTGCTGATGTCCTAGCCCTGTTTCCTGGTGTTAGCTTGTATGGTCTTGTTCTGTATAAAAGAATCATACAGAGTCCCGTTCCTTTGAGGAATACTCTTTCCAATGGTTTTATTGCAGTTTGTTTTCAGCTATGAAATTCTGACGTTACCGACACTGGGTACTTGGAGGGACAGCAGGAAATAGGCATGTGAGTGTTGCTGTAGTGGCACACTGGAATAGGCTGGAGTTACTGTCATGTGGATGTCTAGGGAACAGAGACATGGTCTTATGGAATTTGTTTAAATTGTTCTGGTTGTAGAATAATTTATCTGATTTTGGGTTGTGTGGGGAGCTTTTTTTGTTATTATGGACAAATTTTGTTATCATTATTACTGTGAGGAATCTACAAGAAACTTGAAAACTATGAAGATTGGAGGAAAAAATAATACATGGCAATGTGAGCTTGAATTTGTTCTCCAGATGAATTAAAATGACAAAATCATCAATATTTAAAAATGAGGATTAGGTAGAGCATTGCCATCTTAGGGTTAACTTAATTCCTTTAAAGTACACTGCTTTCTTGGTGCCTTGGTACTCAACTGGATATTCTAGATTACTGTAAACACTAGTAATTTAAGTATTTATAAATTTTTCTTTATTCTGTTAGCAGGTGAACCGTAATTATTTAGCACAGGGAGCTATTTGTGAAGTACAGAAACTCTGTTTTAAAGCTTTTTTTGTTTTTCAGTGTTGTCATTTTGGGAAAGTCTGTTTATTTCTATGTAAAGGACTCTGAGTTACTGCACTGAATCAGAATATTTGACAAATTTAACATAACAAATGTCAAAATGTGCCCTATAAAACTGTCAGACTGCGGTACAAGACGTGGCCTTAGTGTCTGTGGGAAGGTAGATTCACAAGCAGCCGCTCCGTTTTCCCCTGGAGACGGCCTTTATTTGGTTTCCCTGTGTGATGACAGCATGGGAGGGTGTATGGCAGTGGGAGGGAGGTGAGAGGACTCACATGGGAAAGCTTACTGTTACAGCTTCATTTCTCACCAGCTGCTTCGTTGATCTCTGCAAGGGGACTCCCTGTTTTGTAGCATGTCAGGGGGAAAGTTGCCTGCTCCTTCATCTACCAATGGACAGAATTTTTAAAGTTCAGTCTGAGATTAAAGAATGCATGAGACCCTCCTTTTGCTTGAAGGCTTGTATGCTTTGGGGAGGCTGTCTGTTCCACATGCAGCTGGTGAATGAAGAAATTATTCAAAGAGGAGTGGTAATAATCTAGTAATATGGGTGGACTCCCATACTTTTTCATTGTAGGAAATATGTCCCCAAGAAAAATGTCTCATCTCTGAATGTTTTGCTTCTGCTGTGGAGGGAGGAACCCTGCCCCCCATCTCTTTGTGCATTTTATCTGCCATCTATCCTTGAAGGTGGTTTTTCCCATGTATCTGAAGAAGCTGTGGCAAATGTTTCAGAAATGGGGTAGCTTCTATTCAGACTTTTTCTCAGTTTCTTTAGAAATAGATTGAGTTTTTGAGGCAAATGGATTAGGGATGCAGCAGTGATGTATCCACACTTCTCAGTCTGCATTTATTTGTTGCCTCAAGGCTGCCAGTTTTCCTTTGCTTCCATGCAGTGCTTGCAGAATAGCTGAGACAGAGATGAGTGTGAGTACATCTTGTTTTCAGTTACTTCCATTTTGGTGATTGATTTCTTTTGGTACGTTTAAATAAATCTAGCTGTTGCCTGCTTTATGATTTTAAAAGGTGACTGCTCTTCTTGATTGCGTTTAATTGCCTACAAATTGTTTTTTCTTCTTTTTTAGGTATGGTGGTGCCTTAAGAGCTTCAGGAGAGATGGCCTCTGCTCAATACATCACTGCAGGTTGGTGTTTAAAGTAGAACACAGGATTTTAGGCTAGTGTGTGATTTCCTGCTAACTGCAGATGAAAATTGCAGTGAGAGCTCTGCGTATTTTTCTTAGGAATTTCAGATCTGCTAGCACTGGAGGGTTCATTTTGCTCTGTCATTAGTATCTTTAAAGGTTATTCTGACCGTGGCTGCAAAGCCTACATCTCTGCGTGTTACCTAGCTGCACGCTAGGAAAAACATATTCAAGTGTGATCTGTGCTTAGATAGATGTAATCCGTATCTTTTAATTATTTTGCCTGTAGGCATAAAGTAATTGGAACTTCCTAAAGCAGACTCTGTCCGTTGAGTTGATCATTTAGTGTAGAAATATTTTAGTGTACGGTTCGTTGTTTCACTTAATGGTAGGCTAAGGCCATACTCCTAGAATATGTATTTCATGGATATTTTTTAATATGATTTATTGGCTGAGCATTATTGTTAAAATTGTAGCTGATGCTTTGTCAGTGGTCTTAGCCTTTACCGTAAAGATCCAGATTTCGTAACTGAAATAGTGTCTTCAAAAGGAAAATTACTCTTTGTTGTGGTGATCTGGGTGCTCACAGTGTGGGAGCTCACAATGGCCCCTTATCTCCAAGTTCTAACTAGAATTCTAGTTAGACCCCTTACACTTGAACAAGGGTACTACTTGTCCACTTTTTCTTTTTTTACTCTATTTCATTGCCCCACTAAGATGCTGGGCCAGGACACTGGGATTTCTACCAGTCCATTTAAGGAAAAACAAAACAATATAAGGAAGGAAAGGTCCAGTTTGTGGGTATGCCTGCTGATCGAATTTTGGGGTGGTAAGTTCAATGGTTACTCTGTACAACCATGCCTGCCCCTCCCCTTTTCACTGCCTTTACTTTGTGTCCCTTGTTTTCTTTTTAAAGTGACAGCTCTGCTTTTTAGGAATCTTAATAGTTTAAGTCATTCGTAGTTAATTCTTCGGTACTGAGCTGGTCAAGAACTCCTGCATGACACTTATGGCATTTTTTTTAATTGCTGTGTCATATCAGTTGTCCCTCTTATCAAAGTCAGCTATTTCTTAAAGAGAGGAAGCAACTGACCTTGGTTCCTTGTAATGCTGCCTATATTCACTTGTTCAGGATTATCATTCATGAGTGTCTCCACTTGTAAATTAGTGACCGTGCGGACTGTTGCCTCCCTCGCAGGGTTGTTGTGAGGATTAGCAGGTGTCTCTGAAGTGATTTGTGGATTTAAAATGCTATTACCTGGGTAGACAAGACATACATAGTAGTGTGTCTGGAGCAAAAAAGAAAGCCATGTGTATTGTCATGCAATCAGTAGCATTCATTGAATTGCACATAGTAATGAACTGTTTGCATGTGTGCACACACATACTGGTTTTCCTGGGTCTTAAATTAAGCGTGAGTATTTTCTAGATATTTCAGTTGGGAAAAATTGAAGTTTTTTTTCCCCAGTAGTTGGTGAAACTTAAGCTGCTCTAGAGGATAGACTGTGAATGCCTTCTGGTTTCTCTTGTGAAAATATTGTACCTCAGGTGTGTTTCAATTGAAATCTTAACTGCTTAATTTTTTTTTCTTTTCTGTTAGCAGCCAGGAAAGACAAGGCATTATGTGCCAAACTCTCAGAATTGTCATCTTTACGCTTGCAAAGTCATGTTCACAAATGAGATCTTAGGTGCATCTGTTATGCCACCTGGAAAATTTGGTCCTGGTTTGGAAAGATCAAATTGGACACTGTTAAATGATTAGTCTTTAAATGTTGCTGCTGTCTTACAGTTCTCTAAACTTCCTGCCCTGTTTGAATTGTTTTTCCACTTCTCAAAGCATTCACTTTTTCTTCAAGCTCTTAGAGACTTGTTTGATTCCATGGATAAAACTTCCTCCAGTATCCCACCTATCATTCTCCTGCAGTTTTTACATATGGCCTTCCCACAGTTTGCAGAGAAAGGTGATCAAGGCCAGTACCTTCAACAGGTAAAGACCGATTATTAGCTTATTGTTTGAAAACTGCATAGTATGTTGGAAGTTGAGAACAAGAATATTTTAAAACTTTCCTTCTCCTGTGAAAATAATTTATCCCAGTAAAGTGTTTGCTTTTGTATCTTTTGGAAAAGTTGAATGTGATGTCAAGTGCTAGCTCTGAAAATGTATGGTGGAATAGGGAGAAATTCTTAGCTAAGGAATCCTTACATTTGGTTTTATAATGTAAAGATTGGTGGATTTAATATTACTAAATCATAACACTGCTGGTCAGATTTAAAGTTCTGTTCCCTTCCTAGGATGCCAATGAGTGCTGGGTGCAGATGATGAGGGTACTACAGCAGAAGCTGGAAGGCATAGAAGGTGATACAGTTATGGAGGTAATTGTAGTCTTGGTCTAACCAGAGTTAGGATTTATAATGCTGTACTTGTGACTCACATTTTTTGCTAAGGGTTATCTGTTTTGTGAGCTCTTTAACGTGTGTCTGTAGTCCAGTAGGTGAAATTGCTTTTTAATGTGTCTGATCAGCGTAATGCTACCTGTGTCATGTCAGCTGTGCTACGGAATGTACTACAGGAGTACTTTCCCTTTGGGCTTTGTAAGGCATGTGTTGGACCAGGGTGGTGGTGACTGTGAGTATGCAGCAGCTGGCCCTGATAACCTGTGAATTTAGCACAGAAGAACTTTTTTTCTGAAAAAAGTATGTCAGACAACTAGCTTAATCAGCCTGAGAAGAAATTACTTAAAAAGTTTTTCCCAAGACTTAACCAGACAGACTCTCTTCTTTCTCTGTAAACTTTTTTCTGGAGAGTCTTGGCAGGAGCAAAAATCTGATAGACTACTCTAAAAATTAAGACAGACTTAAGTTGAGGGGCAGGGAGATGTGACTTCCTGTTTGAAATCTTGCTTGCTAACATGCTTTGAGGTGGCTTTACAGCATGCTATAAATGCATTTGTTTTAGAACTTTTATATTGTGTAGGGAGATTGACTGACTAGGAGAAAATGCACCTATAGAGGGGTGAAGGAATAGGCTTTAAAGAATTTAAATCAATGGGGTTATTTTGTCTGTAAAGAAGACTGTCTTTACATGCCGTATAAAGTTACATCATAAAATAATTTGTTTTACAGACAGACTCTGGTGGAGCTACAGCAGCATCTTCTAAAAAGAAGAGTTTGATTGATCAGTTCTTCAGCATTGAATTTGAAACAGCGTATCCTGAAGACTAATGCAAGACGTAAAGAGTGATAATAATTGCACACTTTAGCAGTTGAGTGCAGGGAGGATAAAAAGCCTTGGTCAGGATAGTACAGAAAATGAAGATACATGCTGGGGAAGAGAGGGAATGAATGATGTGTCGCAGGAGTACACAGAGGTTAAGACTGTATATACTTTGAGAGAGAGGATGGTGTGGGGAGGAAGAATTATAATGGAAATTTACAGAAAAAATCCACTGAATTTAGATACCAAATTTCTTCCCCAGAAAAGACTGTCAGTTACCTACTTCAAGGATGTTGGCATGTTTTATCCAAGTAAAAGTAATTAGCATCCTAAATAGCCTTTATTTGGCTTATAAGGGAGTGTTGCTGATGTACTTGGTGTTAAAGGAATTTAACTCAGTCGGTGGGTAACTCTAGGTTTGCTTTACTGACAACTCAGAGTTTGGCCATCACCTCAGTGATGCAAAAAATCAGGCTCTATACATGCACTACATTTAACATTCTACAATAGGTATTCTCTCAAAGCTCTTGGTGTTTTCCCACAAACCCTTAGTTTCAAATTTCTCATTAATTTAAAATCCTGTAGAAAGTCCATGGTCATTCTTCAAACTCGGCTGATTCTTACCGTCTCGTCTCAGTTCCTCTTGAGAAGTTGCAGTTCGCTGGTCTCATTCTGGTCACTGTGTTCACTTATCTACTTGAATAATCTTCTTGTCTGCTAAAACCTTTGCACTTTTAAGAAAAACCTACATAGTGACATTTAACTTATACTTACTCTAAGTTAATCACTTAATTAACTTACAGTTAATCTTCTGTAATTACTATGTCCTAAGCTCTATTACTCCTGTTGATTCAGATGGACTGGGTTTTTAAGCCAAGCATGGAAGGGGCTGTACAAGGGACAAATGAAAAGCAGCATGGTTGCATGGTTTATAAGAATTGGTTATATTATTTCATAACACCTGTTTCTAATTGTTCATCTTACCTATAATAGTTCTTTTAATCAATATCATTTCACTTACAAACATTTTCTCACTCTTTTCCTTTTACACTTGGCATACTAAACATGCACAAAAGATAGCTTGGTTGATTTCTTAAGAAATAAATTAGGTGCACACTGTTAGATGAGTAAGAAACTAATGCAGCTGACAACTTTCTAGTAGCTTTTCTTATAGCAAGAACAGGAAGCATATGACCACATGGGGCACACATCTCAAGCCAAGAATTACTCTTTTCCCACTTTTACACCCCAAAATCCTGTCTGTCATGAAACTGACCACCACTTTTAGAAAGGATTATACTGTCTGTTTTGCTCTTCTGAAATAAGGAAACATCCCCTTAGATGAAGGTACTGTATCTCATAGCTTGGTCGTAATGAAGAGTAAAGGCCATTTTTAAGGTAGCAAGGGTCAGAAGAGTCATGCATCTCTCCCCGTATTGTGACATTTTTTATCCCTGAAATAGCTGGGAGGAGCAGAATGAGTAGCTAAGAGGAATGATGTGTAGGCCAATGGCAGGAGGAAGAGACTTGCTAGAAAAGTTGTTGCAAGCCTTCAGAGTGTGATTATGGCAGCATTTGTAGAATAGATGCATTCAGAGCAGTCAGAAAAATACCTAGTTAGAAGGAAGTGGATGCAAGAAAAGGACTGGGGTAGAAGTATGAAAAATAAGAGGTTGGACAGAACAGTTGGAACCATGTGTAGAAAATAATGAAGAAATGGACTTAATTCCAGTGAAGGGGACAGATACAAGGCAGGGAGCGGAGGCTGTGTGTGTTGAAAGAAACGGGAAGTCGGGCCAGCAGCAGGAATAGAAGAACTTTATTAATTGTAAGCAACAGTGAAGCATAATGTTGCAGGAGGGCTTGATAACGTGGTGTTGACAGCCAGTTAGTATGATCTGTATCCTGGGGCTTGGGTGGTGCTGGGGAGAGGAAAGAACAAAGCAGGCCTCACCAGCTTAAATTCTGGTTAAAAAGTTGCTTTACTTTTTTTGGTATGCTGTCTGCCTCAGCTACCACTCCTCATTAGACACAAAGGAAGAGATTGATTAGAGGGAAGGGTGATTTCAAGTCTCTTTTTTTTTTTTTTTTTTTTTAAACTATGAGAAGTAAAAGTATTATTGATGCACAAGCACAGGATTATTTTAAATTACTGTGCTGTTCAGCACGTTGTTTCCACTAGAGCAGTAGTTCAGCTCTTGGTGCATGATGGTTTTCCTTAATTTTGTGAAGCATGAAATGTACAGAAGCTGAAGAAGAGGAAGTAACTAAAGGAAAGGAGAATCTGCTCCAGCTTAGCTGCTTTATCAATCAAGAAGTGAAATATCTGTTTACAGGACTGAAATTGGTAAGCCATTAAACGTTTATTTCATTGAAATTATAAATGACCTATGTTTTGAATCTGTAACTTGGAATTGACATCTGCTGTCCAAGCTTTACAAAGTTGCAAGATTGTTTTTTGGTGTTCGATGGGAAGATGGCAGCGAAAATGAATTGCGTGTTAATGTAGAGAAGACTTCAACAGTGTTTTCTTGACCCTGACATGGTATTCCCCGTGCAGGTAACCAAGTGCAAGCCAGTTTGTCACTTGTTTGGTCAGCTGGCTTTCACTTCAGACTGAGCAGTACCATGGTTTAAGCATGCTGTAAATTTAAATTGTTCCCAAAAAGACCAAAAGTCAGTTTTAAAATAGGGAGGCATTTTGGTTGCTAAGAAAAAAAAAAAACAAACCAAAATGAATGATGGAACAATTAAATTTAAATTTAATTCTGCAGATTTTGAAGAGGCTGTTATTGCCTATGACACAACATCATCTTTAAACTGTTTATTTAAGTAGAACTCCTTAAAGTAGTCTTTCCTGAGACCAAAAGTCAGTTTTAAAATAGGGAGGCAGAACTCCTTAAAGTAGTCTTTCCTATTTCTAAGTTTTCAGGGGGTTTTTTTGAGAATCTGAAGGAGCAAAGAGAGGAGCTACTACAAAACCTTTGTAGTAACTGCTCTTGCAGTGTATTTGTATAAGAGCAGGGATGGAAGCAGTGGTCTGGTTTATATAAGACTGGAGCCAGTTGCATGGTTCTCAGATAATCTTTGTATCTGCTTTTTCTTTTTTTTTGTCAGAATTTGGAAGTAAAAGTAAGATAAAATAGTTAACACAAATTAAAAAGATAATAGAAAAAGAAACCTCACTTTCAGGCCAGAAAAGGTCTAGAATTCTGAGGCTGGGTTGCCTGTAGCGAGAGAGTCATAACACTAACAACCAGGTCAGTCTTTCCCTGAGTTTGGAAAGGTCCCTGGAAGCAGAGTGTCACCACCTGTCTCCTTACGTGCAGCTCTGGCTGCTTCAGACTGAGAATTGAGAAACGTGCAGATGTTCCTGTCACAAGTAACTTCAGATTTTCTTTAGTTGTGTTCCAAGTGCGACACGACGCGACACGACGCACTCGTAACCAAATCCCGTTGCCAGGTCTGCTCCCATAGAATAGAATTGTCTGCAGAGAGAAGCGTGGTGTCGTCAGGGCTCAGGAATGAGCCTCGAGCTGAACAAGTGAAGGGGCTTGGTCTTTCTGCCAGGGGATTTCAAAACTCTGTGTGTCGTAATGGCCGATAGCAGCAGAAGAGACTGGCAGAGCAGGATGTAGTTTATGGCTTGTTTATCTGTGCTGTGCTTTTCTTTAAGCTGTGTTTTATGATGAACGTGTGTTACTAACTTCTATGTTTTTTAACAGCGTCTTCAAGAGGAAATCACCAAACTCTCTCCAACACTGCAGAGAAATGCGCTCTATATCAAATCTGTGAGTGATGCTTCTGTTGCTTTCTTTATGATTCTTTTAAATGTTGTCAGTGTTCTGTCCCAAAACAGTTATTGCTGCAACAGTATGTGATTTATATTCATAAAGCATCCAAATATCCACTACCAAGAAATTTAAGACCAGCTGCAAATTATTTCTTTGAGTACACTACTATATAGAGCTTCACAAGAGGAGGCCTTGTTATATTCCTATGTGTTTGTGTACAAATATGTTCCCAGAATAGCCTGTAATTTAGGATGAGCAGTGTTTAAGGTATAAAAGATCTGTGAATATCTAAAGTAATAGCTTTTTCTAAATCTTTTTTATAGTCAAAAATTAGTCGCTTGCCAGCGTACCTGACAATTCAGATGGTTAGATTTTTTTACAAAGAGAAAGAATCTGTGAATGCCAAAGTTCTTAAGGTAAGTTCTCTACATACCGAAGTTTAATTCCTCTTGATGCTTTTAATTGAGTTTTTATTATAGGTAGACAACTAATACTTGAAGGCTGTTTACTAAATTGTTTGCTTTTAAATTGTATTTAATTATATTAACAATATTGACAGTGCTGTTTCAGTGGATGGGGGGAGGAGGTAAGGGACAGAAGAGGATTTGCTCCAATACAATTAGGATGTTTTCTGGTCTCTCTTCACCAGTGGTTCAGAGGAGAATGTTTAATTAAGGAGAGTGCCACATGCTTTCAGTCGCTGGACAGTGTTCTAAAGTTGATGAGGAATGTCGATGCTAAGAGGCACTTGCTGTATTAGTTACTTTAATTGTCTGGTTTTCTGTTTGACAAATGCAAGAACCAGCTGCAAACAGCTAAATATTCCTGTTTTGCTTTCTGTTGGCCTTGGCTGATAGACCTCCTAGGCTGCCCAGGGAGCATCATGGTAGATGATGCCTGTTCCTTACAAGACAAGCGAGGCAATAAAGACTGAAGGCACATGTTAACTATTTTAGAAGATTGTTTGGATAACACAAATTGACATTTTTGCAAGTGTACAGTCATTCTGCATGCTTTTTTTTCCCCTTATGCCTGCATAGGTATTTCTGTAGTATAAAAGTATGACAGCTGATGATAAAGAATCTAAGTATTTATACTGAATGTAGTAATTTATGATGGTTTGTTTATACTGAATCAGACCTTCTTCTGTGAAGGTGTTGTAGCCCTTTAGGTAAGTACTGTGAGCGACATTTCAGGAGATCAAGTTGTCACGAATGTGATGAGGGTTGCATTTAGTTGGACTTAGTGTTGTCTGCCCATGGGAGAACACTTTAGGGTGGAGTACCAAATTATGGTAATAATCTTGATGCTTTTTACTTCCTAGGATGTTAAATTTCCTCTTATGTTGGACGTGTATGAGCTGTGTACACCAGACCTTCAGGAAAAAATGGTTTCTTATCGATCAAAATTCAAAGATCTAGAAGACAAAAAAGTAAATCAACAGCCAAAGAATGTAAGTCTCCTGACATTTTGATTAAGTAAGTTATGCATCTGAAATAGGGGTACTAAAGGAGTAGAGAAAACTTGACTTCCTTAAATATATTTTTTTTCTTATTTAGCATTCAAACTCCTTGGTATTGAGCTTTGTATCTCTAGTGTATTTTCATGAAAACACAGTATCTACTTTGGTATGACTGCTTGATGAGAAATGTTAAATTACGGAGACAAGCATGTTGCTTACATTTTTATTTCAAAATGTATTAAAATGAAATGCTTCTGCTTACCAGTGTTATGCCTAAAGGTTTTCTGTGAATTACACAAAACCCTTCTCTCCAAACATTATTGCTTGCTGGCAGGTCACTTCTTCAGTGGAGTATAGGTAGCTATTTGCTGCTCACCAGCTGGGAAGGGTTGTACAAGGGACTGCTATGTGTGTGACTGATAAAATTCAGAATATATGTGCTAATGAGCTGAAAGACTTGTCCTCTAAAAACGTGGTAAATGGTTTAATCTCTGTTGGCCCTTTAAGAGCCGAAGCTACAGGTGGCTTCAGCCTTGAGCAATTAATTCCTGACTTTGAGTGAAAAAATAGAACAGAACAGACTCATGGGACAGGATGTGAGAGACAAGATAAGAAATTACTTATGTAACCAGTCAGAAGTAAAAAGAATGGCTCATGAACAGGTGGATTTATCCAATCAAGTATTGTAACCAGGCACAGTAGCTTTTAGCCAATGAAGAGTTGTTTGGGGGTGTGTGTGGGTGAATCCCTCTCGCAGCAAACTTCCTACCCTGTCTACATATTGTAAAACTGACTTACCTTTTTTTAATGAAGAAAAAAGTAAACAAGCTGAAACTGTAGTGTTTTAGCCATTTTTTTTTTTTAAAGTTTGCTTCTCTTTTCCTGCCCCAAATCCTGGCAGTTTGATTTAAACACTTGGATAAGGCTTGCATCTGCACAGTTAGGAGCAAGGAGAGAGTGCTATTTTAAAACAGAATGTATTGGTGCTTAGAGTCTGTCTCTGGTATTTTCTTGTTGCTGCTTCTGCTGCTAGCAAGTCCCTAACAAGGAATGAAATCTTGAATTGTAGAATTGTTTTGAACAGTCTAGGCAAGACGGTTGAAATGGTTATATATTTGCTTTAAAAAGTGTTCTTGTGTAGATGAGGCTTTTGGATGTCCAGCTAGAAATAGGGCAGTGGAACTTTCTTCAAGCTGAACAAAATATATTTAGGCTTAGAAACATCTTTACATGAATGGAAAGTTGGTATTTGATATGTTTGTGCTAAAGCTTTCTCAAAACTGTTCCACATTAATTGAGCATATTCTGTTCTTTCTTTAGTCTAGTAAAAGTGATGGTGCACAGAAAGAAGTTAAATATGAACCATTTTCTTTTCCTGATGGTGAGTATGGGGAAGTAAAGATTTAAAGTAACTTTCTGTTTATTCATGTTTAAGTGGACCTGATGGTAGGAATATTTTGAGAACCCTGGTTATTTTTATTGCCTTTGAAAATTGAAATTTAAGGAGTGGAAAGATTAGACAAGTCAAAATGCTGTTGAGATAGTCAGAGACATAATTGTCATCCATCTGACAAGCCGATGATATGCAGAAGGCATGCGCATCAAAAGACATCTGCATGTAACGCGCAGTTGCTTTGTACACTTCCTGGTCAGTCGGTGGTAGGAAGCTGAAATCAAAACAAAAACTTAGATTGGACTTTTAAAACTGCTGCGGTGCTGCTAGTGCTACCTAAATTTGGGGAGCTTGGAGCTTGAATGCCCTCAGCATTCACCCTCATGTTGAGGACACTGTGCAGAAATGATTTGGAAGGTCTTGTTTACCCAAATTGTTACCATGCAGTGCTTCCTGAGGTTTGCGTGTGACGCACTACATGGGAAGTGATGGGGGACATTGACCAGCTCCAGCACAGTGGGAACAGGATATTCTGGGATGCTGTGAAACGCAGTTAAGACACGTTGGGGACTCTATCGCCTCTCTTAGTATGTTTAGAATTGCCCATTTTTTTCCACTGAAAATTTAATAGTGTAATTGAAGTAACTGCAGAGTGGCTGATGTACTGCACCCGAGTACTCTCAGTAGCAACGCTGTACAGCCCGTGCTCAGCAGGTCAGTCCTCGCCGTTGCATGGCTCACCCCAAACGCAGACAGCAGCTGGTGTTGGAGGGAAGTATTGGCCAAACCTGTCCAGAAGCTTTACTGACCATCCATCATCATTTTAATGCTTTAAGCTTACTGCATTTGCATTACACCCAGGATCTGTGTTCATGTCAGGAAAATGGACAACATTCTCAGTTTCCTGAGGGACTATCCTGGCCGAAACCTGCTGCTTTTAGTAGACAGTGATTTAGAACTGTGCTGTAAATGGGGTTTTACACAGCTACCGTGCTGCAGTGTGGCTGACGTGTCTTCGGTCTGTGTGCTGTTAAAAGCACTAAAACTGTTCCTGTAAGGCTCCAGTAACTTCTTTTTTCCCCTCTTCCTTCAGATATTGGTTCTAATAATTGCGGCTATTACGACCTGCAGGCAGTGCTAACACATCAAGGCAGATCAAGTTCCTCTGGGCATTATGTGTCTTGGGTCAAAAGGAAACAAGGTAAAAAAAAAAAACCCAGCACTGTTAATCACCCTTCACAGCTTCTTTCATTTAAGAGGCTGTTAAGCATGCTTAGATTTTATGGCATCTAAATTACAAATAATCCTCTTGTTTTTCTTGCAGATGAATGGATTAAATTTGATGATGACAAAGTCAGCATTGTTACACCTGAAGATATTTTGAGGTTATCTGGGGGTGGAGACTGGCATATAGCTTATGTTCTACTCTACGGGCCGCGCAGAATTGAAGTAATTGAAGACGAAGCTGAACAATAGTCTTCAGTTTTAGTCATTCTGCCTAGGTGTGAAATAAATGTTGATTACTGATCACTTCTTTAACCCCAGAGCTTTAGCAAGTGGATAAATAATTTCTTCAAACCTTTTCATGAAGAGGGATATTGTTTCAAACCTGATCCATCTACCAGTTAGTCACTGCTGGACTGGGCTGCCCACTGTGGTGGTGACGACACTTCAAATAGCTTTAATGTCTTGCAGAAGAGAATTTTTTTTTTTTAAATGAGCCTCTCCCCTCCCCTGTGTCAATCAAGTATTTATTACACACCTGTTCTCACATTTGTTACTCTTGCATGGTTTATACCACAGTTCAGTACCTGTCCATCCTTTGCCTTACCTGGCAGTTTTGTTAGGAAGGTGGAAGAGAAACTGTTGCCTTGTTGCGTAACTCAGTGCTGCTGCCCATAGCCAACAACCTTGGCTACAATCAAGTATTTGTCCAGCCTGACCTGCTGATTCAGTCTGTTCTGTTGCTGGCATCTCATGACTTCAAAATAAATTGTGATCAACACTGTGTCTCCATTAAAAAAAGTTCATGTCTTGGTAGTGTAGTTAGTATGTGTTTCTTTTAACTTCTTGGGCCACCACTGATGAATCACTCAAAGCAGCCATGTAATAAAGCCACTTTTTTTTTTTTTTTTTTTTTTTTAAGCTGTAGGGATTTATCTCCTGTCTTGCTTCTCTTTAATCAGTAGGTAAGTCTAGTATGGTGGCTGCAAAACTGAGCTTTGGTTACTTACAGTAACTTCTGTTCCTTCCCTACAGGAGCACAGCAGCTCTATGCTAGTGGGAGGCTGCAGTCAAAAACTATTTCGGTGTTGGCTACAGCCAGAAAAGCACTAGGCCAGCAACAGAGCTCAGCCTCTGGGTAAAGAATCTGGTTTTTAATGAGTCCCTTCTGGGAGAGCTACTCCATAGTCTCATGAAAGACCTTCAGTTGTGTGTTCATTAGCAGTGACTGTCTGGTGAGTTTAACTGAAAGTATTCTGTTCCTGTGGGGACACTGGCTCCACCCATGACCTTCCCAGGTAGATTTTCTGCTCTATACAATTTCACAACCCTATACCTATAAAATAATTAATCTTTTACTACTGGTCACAGCCCAATAGTTAGACAAAAAGGTGAACTATTTTTCTTTCCTAGAAACTGTTCTGCCCCATTTTCCTGCTGGTCTCACTGGGACAAGATACACTGAGTCATTAACAGCTGGGACACTGAAAACCCCACAGGAGAAGCAGCACTTACAACCTGGGTGTCCCAGCCCACCAGCCCTGTTCCTAGTGCAGGTTTTTTAAAGTCCATCAAGCCCTTTAGCTACACCTTAGGGCTGGGGCTTGACTCAGTGCTGGGGATCCTCATAGGCAGGGTGTCTCCCCACATGGGTCTAATTTCAAGCCTGTTTGAAGTGCTGTCACAGTTGGATGAGGTCAGAGTTGTCAGATGATGCAGAAAAAAATCTGCACTCCTCCATGCAGAAAAGAATGCAGGGCGGCACTGCTGCTGGGGCAGACAAAGGGGTCAGAGCTAAACCAGGGGCACAGCTCAGTGCCCAAGACTCTTGCCTCGAACATGAGCACTGAGCTTATAGTTCACACCAGAAGCATCAAGAAAATATGATGGACACAGCTTCCTTCAGTCACCTTCCTTGCAGCTGTCCTCATCCCCAGCTTTCCTAGCACCAAGGTGGCAGGTAGAGACGTTCAAGAGCTGTCCGCCACGCGCACACACTTCAGGCTGCAAGATGCTCAAGTCCCTTAATCAATTGGTTGATCAGTTTCATCAATTGGTATGAAATGGCAACATTTCACACCTTCTACCAAACTGCACCTGCCCTGGGAAGTAAGACGTGGGCTGTACTATTTCCATCAGCTGTCCCGTGTATCAGCCCATACCAACTTTCACTCGAGCGCCTGATAATCAAGTTCCTAACAAAGACAGTGAAATCCAAAGGAAAGGGAGCAGGCACAAAGCTCTCACCAGTGGCTCTTCAGGCAGAACATGCCTCCCAGCTGGCAGCAAACCACCCTGAAAATGCACTGGTACTATTACAGAGATTTCACTGCATGACACCAGTTCTACAGGAAATGGCCACAAAACAAATTGTAAACAGCTACAACTTCACCACAAACATCTCGCTTTTTGAGGGAAAACAGATCAAGCTCCATGAAGCAGCTTGTACCCATCAGTAGCCACATCCTTAAAACCCCTTAAAACAGTTGTCACTTCACAGTGAACTGGGACAAAAAAAATGACCTTGTTTATTATGCCTCAGGGGAGCTCCTACACAGCCAAACATGCAGTGACTGAAGTTATTAATTACTAATTAAACAAGCTAAATGTCTAATAAAAACAAGCATAGAACTCCCTTGATTACTGACTGTGAAGGTCCACTGAGAACCAGTTCTTCAGC